TTTTCATTCTTCTGGTAGTCCATGGTATATTCAAAATCCTTCGCCAACACCATAATTTAAAGGCATCAATTCTTCTTTGGTCTTCCTTCCTATAGCCCAGCTTTCATATGCTTGCAAGGCCATTGAAAAGAACATGGCTTGAATCAGGCACACCTTAGTCTGCAAAGTGACACCCTTGCCTTTTTGCATTTTAAAGAAGTCTTTTGCAGCAGATTTGGTCAACACAATATGTCTTTCGATTTCTTATTTTCAACAATTTTTTCCCTAAATTTTGTTTATTTTGTTGCCGTTGAGAATATACACAGCAAAACATACACCAATTCAACAGCTTCCTATGGACAATTTAGTGATATTGACTGCATTTATTTATTTTTTAAATGCATTTTATTGAAATATAATTTATGTACAGTGAAATATATAAAACTAAAGTGACATGGGTCGATGCTTTTTTTTCCCAGTGTTTCCTCCCCTGCCCTCCTACCCCTGGCAACCAACAAAGAAAGTTTCCCTCCATATATAAACCTTTCCTTGACCCTCCACAACAACGAACTAATACTGTATTTGTCCTTTTGTGATCAGCTTATTTCACTCAGCATAACGTCCTCCAAGTTCATCCACGTTATGTGGTGTTTTGCAGCCTCTACACTATTCTTTACAGCTGCATAGCATTCCATTGTATGTATGTACCATAGTTTGGTCATCCACTCTTCCATTAATGGGCAGGAAAGTTGTTTCCATCTTTTTGTTATTGTAAATAGTGATGCAATGAATATGAGTGTGCATGTATCTGTTCCTGTCCTAGCTCTCACCTCTCTAGGATATATACCTAGTGACAGGATTGCTGGGTCAAATGGTATCTCCAATTCCAGCTTTGTAAGGAATCGCCATACTGCTTTCCACTGTGGTTGTATCACTTCACAGTCCCACCAGCAGTGTATGAGAGTCCCAATCTCTCCACATTCCCACCAGCATTTGTTATTTTCTGTCTCGTTGAACCTTGCCATCAGTGCTGGGGTGAGATGGTATCTCGTTTTTTGATTTGCATCTCTCTGATGGCCAACGATCATGAGCATCTCTTCATGTATTAGCTGGCCACCTGAATATCCTCCTTGGTGAAATGTCTATTCATGTTTTCTGCCTATTTTTCAATTGGATTCTTAATTCCTTTGCTGTTGAGGTATTGGAGTTTTCTATAACTCTTAAGAGATAAGTCCCTTGCCAGATATGTAATTATCCGCAAATTTGAATTTGTTGCTGTCATTTTTGTTATGTGCTTTTTCGTGGTGTCAATTTCTTTGTTCCATATAATTTTCTATGCTGAGCTCGTTTTTATGAATTGTGTTATCACTTCCTTCATTGCTATTGTTTT